CCCCAAAACCCCAAAACCCCGTAGAAAATATCAATGTAGTTGTGAAAGAGAGGAAATAAATAAAATCTAAGTAAGAATAAAAAGCCTCATAAATTATATCTGTTTTATTCAATCCAAAATCTAGGCTGAATTATCCAATCATTTTAAAGTTTTTTGATTTAACTTTTACTGTAAACCATAAAAGCCAGAATTTTCTAATAGCTTTTAAATTAATTTTAAAATGGCTCCAAAGAAAACTACCGGTTCAGCAAAGGGAACTCCCGCCACCAAGGTCGCTAAGAGAAGCGGAAAGCACGCCGAAAGAAAGGCTGGTGCTCACGGAAAGAAGAAGAGAACTGAAACCTTCTCCGTCTATATCTACAGAGTCCTCAAGCAAGTCCACCCAGAGACTGGAATCTCCAAGAGATCCATGCACATCATGAACTCCTTCATCGGAGATATCTTCGAGAAGATCGCTCTCGAGGCTTCAAAGCTCGTCAGATACAACAAGAAGCACACCCTCTCATCCAGAGAGGTCCAAACTGCCGTCAGACTCCTCCTCCCAGGTGAGCTCGCCAAGCACGCCGTCTCAGAAGGTACCAAGGCCGTAACCAAGTACAGCAGCGCATGAGGATATAATTTACAATAATAGGACTATATGTAAAGAGTGAAGACTCTTTATGTGTTGTTAATTAATATAAAAATTCATAAAATTCACTCTCTTATCTAAGTATCACATCCATTTCTAATCACTCTAATGAGACATCTGTTTTTTGCAGATCAATTTTTGCGAAAAGCATAGTTATAATGTTTGGATCTGTGATTTCATATTCCTCATCTTAGTCGCTTGAGATATTCCCGCTTTCAATTAGTTGACTAATTTAAAAGTATTAAATTAAACTGAAAAATTACGCGAATGTTTTTGATAACTTGTATCTGTGCTATTATTCAAGACTTGGGGGTTTGGGAATATACAAAGTGCCTCTTGATGAGGAAATTGTAGGGTTTTGAAGTCTGAATTAAGTTTTAAGTCCCTCTAGGAAATCTTAGAGAGTTTCATTGATATTGGCAGTCAATTATACTTGTTTCCTGCTACAAACCCAGCAGTTCTAGAATATTAAATAAACAAAAAATATTTACCTCCTCTCTTTGATACTCAAAAGTGTGAGTATTAAGACCAGTTTAACCCATATACATCATATAGTTGTTGAGGTGATGGTTGCATCCACTAATAAGTTTAATTGCTTCTGTTACACAAGCAGCTGAAACAAGTGCATTTGTAGAAGCAATAGCTGGGATGATGTTTTTAACGACACCCATAGTTAACTGATATGTAACTCCTTAAATACCAAAGGTCTTAGCTCTTTCAAGTGCTTTCTCATAAATCCAATTCATGTCAACTGGTGAGTCTTTATCAACTGCCTTTGATCCAAAGTGCTCTTCCCAGCTTATCACATAAGCATATTGAATGCAATGTTCTGGTAATCTAGGAGTCTCTCTTATTGTGCACATTGGATAACCGACTTGAGGTGGTAATGAACCTAAACTGCACTCAAAGCATCCACTCTTGAATGGAATGATTACTCTTGCTTGACCTTTAAACCCCTCAGTTCCACCATCAATAAGTGGTCTCTAAGTTCCAGGTAAAGGAATTTTCTCGCCAATATTAGTTTAATCTTCTTCAAATTCTACTAAAGAATGAACCATTTGATTGATCCATCTTCTAGCTTCAATGTTATCAAGTCCAGCAATAATGACCATGAATTGCTTGTAGAACTCAGAGTCATAAGATTGAATGGGCTCCGTATAAGCAGTTATTTTAACACTAGGGACTCTTTTCATAACAAAATCTGCAGCAACCTTGGACTTGTAATTACCAACATCAGATTTTCTGATAAAAATATCAATTATCTTAATATCTTTACCTGAATAGGAATTATCTGTTAAGATTTGTCACGTCAATCTTATCTAGATCAATAACATGAATATCTCTGATGCCACTGAGAGCGAGATCCTTAAGTAACTCACACCCAAGACCACCAGCACCTAAAGTTATAAAATTATGAGTATCATAGATATAAGTTAAAGAAGCATAAATCTTTCAAACTTCACATTTATTTATTACCGATAACTAAAACTTTTGCAGCTTCTGCAATACCCTCTCTTAACTAAATTCAAATAAGTATAAGAATATTATCAGCAATTAAATACCTCTTCAAAAGGCTAGAATTCTTCAGGTGCAAAATGACTTTTTCTTGTGTAGAGCAGATCGAGATCATAGTATCTTGACTAATTGTTTTGATCCATTTTATAAATTTATATTGTTAAAATTACTTATTATTCATTTATTTTTATTTTAATGAGCTCAAATTTTAATCAAATTTGCTTCATTGGGGTTTTGGGGTTTTGGGGTTTTGGGG